TTGGCAAGGTCGCACAGGAAAGGAATGTGGAAAAAATACACATAGGCAGAAACAAATTTCATGTTTGCATCAGTTGGAGGGTTGGCAAAGGTGACAGAGTTATATTTGGCAAGATCCGAGGTTAAAATGAGGAGTTTTTAGATACCAATTTCCTCAAAGTTTTGCCATCACATGAAAAAAGGATATTATCATCAGTGAATCATTCAAATATGTTGCCGGGAGGGGGGAGGAGAGGGGAGGAATGGTATGTAAATGTACTGAGAAATCTTAATGATTGGGATATTAATGAGCATGAGAATCTACTAAACATTCCATCCCTTACGTCATTGAATGGTAGCAATGATCAACCAGTGTAGAGTCTCAATACTACAGGGTCATTTTCAGTCAGATCTCTATAAGTATCTGCCTGAACATAATGACACTGAAACCTTTCATTTTGGACAAATCTGGAAGATCAGGGCCTCTCCTAGAATTGGTTTCTTCGCGTGGGAGGCCGGAAATGGGTGCATATCGGCTATCGACAAATTGATAAGAAGGGGAAAAATTATGGTGAATAATTGATATCTGTGTAAAAGAGATGCAGAGACTTGTGATTATGTACTATTATGGTTTATCAGTTACTAGGGATTAATTGGGTGATTTTGGGTCGGTATGAGATGAGATATGGGCTTGGGAGGATATCAGTGGTAGGAAGAAACATGTGGACCTCATCCTTCCTCACTATTTTTTGGGTGGTATGGACAGAAAGAAATATGATAACTTTTTGAGGGGGTAGATAAATATTTTGATAAAATTAGGAATAGATGGTTCCACATTCTAGATTTTTTGGTTTTAAGTCATCCTTTCTATTCAATGGAGGATTTTAAGGACCTTGTTGACATATTTGTTGATATCTAAGTAATTTGCATACGGTTGGCAACTTCTCTGGTGCCTGTGAACCAATGATACATATTATTTTTTTTTTTATTTTAAAGAAACAAGAACAATTTATTTTTAGGTGCTTGCATTACAAGCTGCTAGTTTCATTGGAGATTTTTTCATGTATAAGACTAGTGATTAATGGCTATCTATAGTCTATGATTTGCTAGATAAATTACCGCTTAAGCTTTTCCAGATTTTTCAGATTTTTCTTTAATTAGCTATCTTAGCATGCCGACTTCCAACCACCAAACAAGCCGACTTCCAACTTTGTGTCATATGTTATACAAATTATTATCTAAATTACAAAGTAACTTATTAACACACACTGCAACATAGGTCAAATAACTGTCCCGATAGAAAGGCTATTACTCTAGTGGTGTTTGGAGAAGATTATAATGATGATAATATGGGTTGTGCAACAAAAGGAGATGGCCAGGATGGTGAAACAGATGGTAGAAAAATAATTATATTATAAAGAAATAATTGCTTCAATAAATGGAGCTGAATCTAAGAATGAGCTAAAGGAAAATAAAAGGTAAGGAAGTTGAGGATAAATAATGAGAAGTAGCTGAAGGGGTTTTGGCGATGGTTTTCTTGATAGGAAAGCAAGTTTCATTTTGCACACGGAATGTGAACTTCAACTAAAGAAGTATGGTCCTTAAGATTTGGACTGTGAAAGTTTCTTGTACAGCGGATTACTCTATCTTTCATTACCATCCTCTTTAATCATGACGTGGCCAAGGAGAAAGTATCACCAAGCAGCACGTTGATGTGACCCTCAACTACAGGCCTTACTGTTGATATTAAGCTTAGAGAAAAAAAAATTACGTGGCAAAATGTAAATAGGTTTTTAAGACAGATTTAAAGGATCAATTTAATCCAAATTCAGTAAGTTTTGACTCCATGAGAGTTTACAAATATTTCGTTTCATATATATTGAATAATGCACGTGTTACATGTATCAAGAGATTCTAAGTATATGATTATATTTTCTTGCTTTGAGTTTTGTGTGTTACAAATGAAGTCTAGATGTTTATGCTTGGTTAAGATATAATTACATTTAAATATTCAGGGGGTAAACTTTCCTTTTGTCTTATATATATATATAGTCATATAAGTTAATTAAATTTAACCTAATTCATTTTGGAAGTCATTTCGAAGAAAATTTTAGGGACACAAATCTTTAATGGATTTTTTGACTTCCATTACTGCAAAACAAATCCTGAAATGGGGTTATTATACTTTTGTGTTGTAGTATACCCTTCTTGTTCATTATTTTTCTGTCCACTTTTCAGTTACTTCCTTATGAGGCTGTTTAACGGCTGCCAGTTTCCATTCTCCTACTTTTTCTTTCAGTCTGTACTCAAGTCTCTTTTCGGTTTTCCATTCTTCTGAAAAATGAGAGAAAGACTTCACATTTTGTTTTCAAAAGTTACTTATTACCTATTGGGATCTGAAATTTTGAAATCTATG